TCGAGAAAAAGAATTATTCTCTTTTGGATTCTATAAAATTTGTATTCTTGTCGGCATTAACTATATAATTTTTGTAAGTTTCCTCTTGTACATTTAAAATTGAATATTAAATATTCAATCAACGGCTTTAAGTGAATTTCTCTTTCAAGAAAATACCGCAAGACAAGACGGTACAGATGGGTATAACTTTTATTTCCACGACGGGGAAAACTTTTCTACTCATTTTCTCAATGCTGCTAATTTCCGGGGTTTCAATTTTTGACTGAATTATCATTTTCTTGCTTCCACGTGCTAATAACAAAATTGTAACGCAAGCAGAAATTATCTTTCTTTCGCAGTCAATCTCTAATTTCTACTCACGTAAAGGTGATCAGATACCTTTATTCGGCTGGCAGAATCAACAATAGCGTGAATTTTTCTAGCTAGTATTACATTTTTCTGTCATACAAAGTCAATAACAAATTTTAAAAAGCTTGGAATAAATTTTAATAAAAAAATCGCAATTACAATTTTTTTACATCGTTTAAGCTTTGTAGGCATTGCAAACTCGATCGATTGTTCGACGAGGTAAGTCTAGCGGACTTGCGAAGTGGCTCTGATTAAGTGGCCCCATTAGAGGGTGGTACTCGAAAAACGAACATAATCATTAGTAACCGAAACAGTTTCCGACACTTCCTCTAATAACCAACTCGCACGCGATCGTAATTATTATTTGCGGCTTATATTGGCTCACTTTCAGCGCGAATCGGCTTATCAATTGATGAAACGGAAAGAGAGAGAGAGGGAAAAGCATAGCACTATTATTGAACCAAAGCTGTCAATATCATTCTGAAATTTAAAAAAATCAAAGAACAATAGCGAATAAATTAATCTGCGCAGGAGAAATATTTTGTATTAACAAAATGTAAAAATATGTTCAACGTTGATTACGTATGCGGAAGAATTTACTAAAATATAATATTTGGATAAAACATTACTCCATTTACGAAAACATGTTTCTCTAATTTAAAAAAAAAATTATTTGTGTAATGAAAATCATACTTTGCAACACGTTAATTTTCACCTCAACGAATTTTATATATTTCGCCACAGTAATATTTTGCGAAATAAATCAGCAAGAGTTATTTTACGTACTATTTATCATTGTAATATATATAGAAGCAAATTACAGGAACGATAATTAAAGAACTGGGTTGAACGGGCGAGACTTGAAGAATGTCAGTCTCGCTAGCGTACGTGCGTGGAAAAAGCAATGTAAAAGCAGCAGGATAAAGGCCACACCCTGCTAAGGTCGACGGGGTTGGTTAGCAATGGCGTAGGTTGGCCGGTTAGCGGAAAGAAAGGAGAGAGAGAGAGAGGGGGCGAGAGAGAGTAATATCTCGCGTTGTAAAAATCCACCCGCGTGAAAAACATCCTAGCGCAAGCATTGCTATACCATTTACCGCTTGATAGGTGGTAACGCGCACTAAAGCTTCGTCCTTTTGTCGTGAATGACATAGGTGACCAAGTCTCTCCTCGCCCCCGCTCTTCCATCTTTTCCGTCTCTTCCTCTCGATCTCCTTTCCGCTCAATTTCTCGTCTGCTTCAGTTTTTTTTCTTAGCTCATTGCAGTTTCCTCTAAATCATTTTTAGACATGCCTCGGTCTCTGTTGACACCTAATCTTTATCAGATTATTTAAATCCTTCTTTTTCCAGCTGGTCTTTTTTTTTTCTTTGTCATAAATGTTCCAAAGTCTTCTATTTGAATTTCTTTAATGCATTTTTAGAACTGCATTTATCCTAAATTCTTCTAACCTTTTCAATTGTCCTCGCGTGCATTTTTGTGATTTTTCTTTTCAATTTCTATCTATTTTTCTTGTTTCTTCTATATTTTTGTATCAGACTTTAATTGTTCCTTCTGATTTTCTAATCTCTTTTCATTTATTGCAATTTTTTTATTATTTTGAAAGCAGATTTATATTTTTATGAATTTTTTTTATAATCTGAATTCTACTTTAATCTTTCTCTTGTTTAATCCATTACTTCAATTTCTTTTATTATCTGTAGATAACCATTAATAACTGATGAATTGCGAAACTATGATTAGCGAAATTGAAACTTTTTGCATAGCTATTATTGAACACGATCGTGATTGAGTGACATTGGAAATTAATAGAAAATGAGACAAATGGAGAAAAGGGCGTGGTGAATATAATAACTGGACTGGTTTCCAGAAAACGTAGCCATTGTTGCATAAAGAGGTGGCCCAAAGCACATGAAATAAGTGTCCTTAAAATTTCTCGGGACCAGCACCGGGGAAAAATGTAACTGGAACGCGCCAAGAGGGGTAAAAGCACTTACAGCAATATGCCGTGTTCCCTTTAAATCAAATTAATTAACTCCTCCGAGCTTTCCTTACAACGCCGAGGTAAGATGTGTGCAGAGTACCTGCTGGTTAAAATTTCTTGTTTTAACGGCAAGTCCGAGCTTCATCTATTACTCACATAAATCGAAAGATTTGCAGATTATAGCTAGTAAATTTAGAAAATATTGTAGATTCTATTATTTATATTTTTATCAAGTTTTTTTATTAAATTGCGTAATGTTAGTTGATAAAATGAATTTTGTTGTAATATTACATATTAATTCTTATAACTGATATCTTGATTAAATTCTTGTTACAAAGAATTTATTTTTATCACAAAATATGAATTATAGAAAACTTAAGTATAGCATTTCAACATAAATTATCCTGATACATCCTATACAATTACTTCTATTTATTGCACTTATTTATCTACTAAACAATTTATCAGCGGCATTGCATTTATTCGCGGTCGCGTCTTATCAAATCAAGACGGCTAATGAAATCAGGCGGGCGAGCGTTACGACGCCCTTAATTTCCGGCCGGGACGGCGCACGGTGGCGAAACAAGCGGAAACAAGACGCTATATTTATGTTGAAAGTTAAACACTCGGGCTTAAGTACCTGCAGGCCGAAGCGGTCTCATGGTATGACGCGTCGCGCCGTGTTTTGTGGCTCTTCCGATTGGAATATTCCGTCGATGAGTACTTCGCCCGTATCTCATTCAGAAATGATCGAAACGGGATAAAAATTATTAAAAAACACCACTAAGGTAAAATTTATTTTTCTTTTTGTCAATACTTTACTGGGTTTATTGGGATTTATTGATATGGCTAATTCATACATTTATTAAAAAATAAAAAAAATTCAAACTTTTTAATTTCCTATATTAAGTATTTTTTATGATTAAATCATAAAAAATTTTAGCAAATTTTATGTAAAATATTAAAACCGAAAAAATTTTATCTAAGAACTCGACATATGTCCAAGAATCAAATATCTTTTAATAATGAATTTTTTTTAACTCAAGCGTGTAATACTCAAGCTTTGCCGAGCATATTCAAAACCTGGTTTCTAGAAATATCACTTCTTTGATGCACTCTTGCGCATTCAAGTTTTTCACGAAAGCTGCAAGCTCGGAAAATTCCTCAATTCTATCTCTCCTCATCTATTCATGAGGCGGTTTCGCGGCGTGATATTCTTTCAGTGAATTTCGCTTAGGCGCTCTCTTTTCTCCTTTCCATCCGTGTTCTCACTTCCGTGGCTCGGAACCTTGATTCAGATTTAATCATCGTCTTTTAATGCTATTGGAAAAATTAAATTCATTATTTCTTATTTCAAATGTTTACTTCTCTTTAATTGCAATCATACTTTTTTATTTCGCAAAATTTTATTTACACCAAATTTCGTCAAAATTGTAATTTTTTATTTGCAATTAAATACTTTGCGCACTTTTATTTTACGAATTTGCTATTAAATAAACCTTTTGCTATTCACAAAACTACTTAAGTTAAAAAATACCTTAAAATCGCGTTTTCTGCGGAATTTATTGTAAATTAACATTGTTGGTTGCAAAATTCACGAATTTTCTGGAAAATAATCTTGTGAAAATTACTAGCGTGGCATATGTGTCCGATGCAAAATGGCGACAGCGTGTCTAAGAAGAAACGGTTCATCATTAATTACCTCTGATGCACACAATATTGACTCTCTCGTTGCTGCACTCTGCCTAAATGAATGCAGGCGAAGGATGCAGCTGCCGCCGCGAGAAAAATGTGGCGTCACGGAAATTGCCGTCGCAGTTTCCTTTTTATTTACGCAAATATAAATCATCTTGGCTCAATCCGCGTTTAATACCATATGTGTATATTTCCAAAATATATTCTCACTTATCATAAATATGTTTGTTCGCTAAGTAAAATTCTCTTAATATTTTAAGCCCAGTTTCTCAGTTTGTACACATTAAACTTTTGTGCTTCTAATAGAGATATTTTTTCACCTATTGCTTTTGACAATTAAGAGTATTTATTTATTAATTAGTATATTTTTTTCGCAGACAACAGTTTATTAAAAAAAGAATTTTTGAAAAGTGTATCGCAATTTTCGACAAAGACAAATTTGTTGAATTTATGTTGAATGAAAATGGAAGTTTGCAAGTATAAAAATTCAGTACCAATGAAACAATGAAAATAACATTTTCCACCTCTCGAAAATGAAAACCACTACTGCAAAAAGATTAATAAACATACATGCACACAAAAATAAAAATTCCGTGCACTAGCGATGATAAAACCAACGAGACCGCAAATATTTTATGCTCCAAATGTCTCGCCATACTCACAGATTAAAATATGTCGTTGTAATAAAAATTTTAATTTTTACATGTTGCTATTATTTATCGATTCAGATACATTACGACTACAAAGTACAAAGTCATGCCAACTTTAATATATAAAATAAAATAAAATAGATAAGATATTTAATAAATTAAAAATGTGAAATTAGCAAAAATAGTAATAATCTAGCGTCAATACGCTAAAAATCACTGGATCTTGAGAAAAAAATTATGTTGTTAGAAATAAAATGTTTAATTTGTTTGCAGAAATTTTTTTATAAGTTTTATATAAAAATACAAAAGTAATATTTCGTCTTTTCAGGCAACCATCACCAAGTTCGGGTACAACGGCCACCTCGACGGTATCGCCAACGACCGACGAGGGCGACGCGACGCAGAGCATCGGGATGTATTCGGTAGGAGTTCCAACCACGTCGATCACAACGACGACGCCGGTGACGACAACATCGACGACGGTACCTCTGACTACTTCCGGCGTAACCGTCGGTACCGGAAATATCGGCATCGCCAGAAGCATTTCCGCGCCGAGCGCGCCTCGACCAGTCGTTCAAGTTAGCAGCTCGTCAGCAAGTACTTCGGCATCACAACGGCCGAGACTAAGGAGGAATCAAAGCCGCACCGAAGCCATCCGGAAGTGAGTATAATTTGATGCTTCGGACTCTTATCAGAATAAATAAAAATTTCTATAATAAGAATGGTTTTTCTTAAGGCAAATGAAAATTGAAATCTGTTTGAGAAATCTATATTACTGATCATTGTCTTCTAATTAATTTGTTTGCTGAATAATAAATAAATAATATAATGATGACATGAAGCTAATGTTTAAAATGTTCTCAATCTTGCAGTTATATTAAACGTGAAACAGCACAATTCTTTGGAGTCGACGAAGAATCGGAGGCATTGGAGAAGCAGAGATGGCTCGATCGACGGCGACGCATGGCATCGAGAAAGTACGGCGCGTTGGTACCGGAACACAGACCGCCAGACCCGGACATTACCAAAGATGTACCAGACACGACCGAAACACCAGAAGTGAGTGCATTGTATCATAAAAATATTTCTCTACGATTATAATTACATTAAAATAAGAATTTATTTTAGTGGTCAAAAACGTGGATTATTTTTGAAATGTAAAACACGAAATTATAAATGATATTAATTCCAGATTGTACAGGAATATTTATTAATATTTTATGAATATGTATAAATTTCTACAACTCATAAATACATTTTATATTTTATATTTTTTATGTTATCGAATTATCATTTACGATAGTCTGGAAAAAGGATTAATTTCGAGGAACTCAAAGTTTAAAATTAATTTTTCTTCTATATAGCAAAAGTGTTGTAATATTTGTGAAAAAATTAATTTTTCTGCGATTTTAATTTAATTATTTAATGAAAAAATTACAGAATTTTTGGAATTAAAAAAAACACGTTTTTAAATATTCACAGGATGTTACCCTCAGACGATGGCAGCAATCAGTACGGAGAAAAGATTCTGTGGCGAGGATGACGTTATCGGGTCTTCATTACATCGTCGAGGTGAGTCATTATCTCATTTTTAACTTTATAAATCCCGTGTTAAAAAATCTTCTGCAATAATTTCTTATTTTTATTAAATATTATAAATTTTTTATTTAAAAACATTACTGAACAAAATATAATTATCTAATTAGTTTTGCTAATTAAAAAAAATGTTATTTATAGATTTGTTAAACACATTATGGATATGTAATCGCGAGCGAATTGATAAGATTAACTCTACTTATATTCAACAAAAAGAAAGCTGAATAAATCGGATAATTAATCAAGCTTTTAATTAGTCATATTAGCGATTAATTAAGCAAATAACTTATATACGCTATTCTATTTATCAATTTAGGGCTCAAAGAGTTAATTTCGTTAATTTATTCAACCCGATTACATGATTTCTTTGTGCAATTTTATCATATTCGCATCGAAGGCATTCGATAATTTCGATCAATTTTACGATAAATTTATTAGGATCACAAGATGAATTGCGCAACATAATTAGCTGGTCGGTTGTAAAGCACCTTCGTTGAATTACATTACATTAACCTTAAAGTTTAGATTAGCCAAAGTAGAGTAATTCCAGTCATAAAAGTGGAGCGACTCGCGTGCGCGCGCGTGCCCCATTACGTAACTTTGGTTTTAGTTTATGCCAGAAGGGCTTATTTCCGGTCGTGCAAACTTTGCGTTCATCAAGCCAAGACAAAATTTTACCTTCGAATTATTTAGGTATTTCACAACGCGTAATTATTTCAGAAATAATAATATTTACAGCTGTGACTCACGGAAAAAAAGCCGAACAGTGATATATCTATGAATTGAATAAAACTATTTAAATATTTCTTTAATCAATATACATAATTTTTTATATATACATAAATTTCTTGAAAGTTTCTTATAACATTGTACAACACAATTTGCGTCACATGCAACGTTTTAATGTCTTCTTTTTACATTGATTTCAAAAGGATTAGGTTTCGGAACTTCTCTCATACTTAATTTTTTTGCAATTGTGGCTTTTGGTGAACATATGATAGTCTAATAGCTAAAAGATACGGTGCGTTCTGAGTCACGTAAATAAATCGAACGGTAGCTACACATGTGCGCATTGTGCAATACATTCTCCCTGTGCTGCAGGCACGGCCGACCATATTTTAAAACTTACTACTTAACTCGAGCAAGCCGGACAACGGCTGGAGCATGTATTGCCGGGGGAAAGTATGTCTTTCGTATACACAACGGCCTATTAAAATATTTTACGCGCGACCCAGAAAGCATTACCCCAATCCAAATCGATTTCAAATCGAACGGAAAATTCACGGTTCCTGTAATTATTTTACACAATATCAAGTCTGCTACCAGAATTTTAAATTTTTATTGCGAATTATTTGAATTTTTCAGAACTATAAAAAAATTTCTATTTTATAATCAGAATTTTGTGAATGATTTATTCAAGATTATGGAAATTTTTAAATTATTAACAGTTTAAAGTTAAAATAATAATTGTAATACCTAACAAATAGTTGTACTTTTTTTTAAATTACTCAAGCTTTTTTTATTTCTATGTGAATAAAATGGTTTGTATAATTTAAAAAAAAATTTTTTTTTTAATGCTGTTTAGATAGTAATTATATTTTGCTTAAAATATTTCTTTTTTAACTAATTTGAAATGCCATTGCAATTTGTTAGTATGTTTTCTCCTGTTGCTTAGATTTAAATAACAAATTGAGTTACGCATTTTTAAGCAGAACAATTATGGAATTTCCGCCGATAATTTCGCATTGTCCAACGTTCCATTTTTCTCCACATCATAGGATTATTATATAAAGGCCGAGCACAACAATGAGGTTCAAAAAAATGAGCTCTCGACAGACAGACATGAAATTTATTTTGCTGTCATGAGAGATCTCTATTCTGCGTGATCGGATTTGAATTTCCTCGATTCTCGCAATTGTGTTCTCGAAATAATGAAATTTATTAAGCGGAAACGCAGCTCATATTATTTCAATTGTTTCGATAACTTCTTTTTTGTAACAATTATAATGCTTAGAAAATTTTGAAAGGGATTATGTCATGTTTATTTATTTGCAATTAAAACACGCAACTTTTCTTATCTAATATAACATTATGTTTTATTAATTACTATTATTTTACTTTTTGTAGCAATATTGTTTAAAACAAATATTTGTCAATTACATTAAAATTAAATTCAAATTTAAACTACTTTTGAAACTAAAATATTTTAACTAGTACAATATTTCTATAAAGTTTCTTGCTGGTCTTCTTTTATTCCATTAATTTTTCGCTAAAAATTTTTACGCTATGATCTCTGCACAAAAGTTTGTAATGTAAAAAATTGTAGCCCGCTTAATAACATATATGCATAATAGCTTGGTAAAAGCGGCCGCTAAAGGAAATCCAAAAAATGCAGCTATAGTGGACAAGCGCGTACGCTTGCATTCTGATTAAAGTAACACGCCGATGTTACTTAATAATAGAGTTTATTAGACTTCCGTTAATAAATGGTAGTCTTGTCTCTTTATTACACCGCACCGCGCTCGTGCGTTCCCGGATGATGTAAATTTTAATAAAAACTCCCGTGTAACGCGTGTGCACGGCTCCATACTGGTCGCCATTAAATTACATCCCTTCAACGGGACACATAAAGGGCGACTGAAACGAGTTATGAGACTAATCTACTCCCTTCGTTACGCCGTCCTAAGATTTAAAACACTTCGTTACGCGCGACGAATGCGACGCACGCTTTTCTCTCTCTCTCTCCCTCTCTCTCGTTCTTTCTTTCTGTTTCTCTCGTTTTCCATTCTTTTTTTAATTTTGCGGAAACACGCGAATTGAGCACGTCACCGTATTTATGCGAAAGATAAATAAAGAAAGAATAAATCTTTTCTATTTTCACCAAGAGATATATGTGAGAAGTCAAAAGATTTATCTTATCTTTCTTATCTCATACTTCTCTTAAGAATTATTTATTTCAACAAAAGATATTTTCTAATATACTTGATAGCCAGGACAATACTTTAATAACATATTTTCAAGCTTTATTGAAATTGAAAGTCTAAATGCGTAAATGTTACAACAACGTTTGAATTATAAGTGATCGAAGTTTGCTAACATAACAATACCACGTAAAGTTTGCGCCACTAAAAGTATAGTTTTAAAGAAATTATTATTTTAATTAATGTTTAAAAATCTTAAATTTTAAAGCATTAAAAAAAGTTTAAAAACTTAAGAATTTTTTGATTACAGTGTTTTAAACGAATAAAAAAAATATATTTTGCATTTTGTAACATGCAATATGTATTGAATAAACATTTTTATTTCTATATTACTTTCCAAGTATTTATATCTTTTTATACTGTATACATTTTTTTATCATGATATTCAATACTTTTGATTTTTTATTCATGACACTCAATACGAAAATATCGCATGATATCAATAACTATTGTATTTTATATAAAATAATAAAAAAATATCGAGATATCGTATTAAATTTTAGTATGTCTGCAAACTGAATAGAATCATCGAGACCAATACACTAACTGCAACTATTCGGAAGTTACAACCGCGCGGTGCATCCGCCAACACAATCGTTAATGCCGGATTATGTAGATCTGCGTTTAATTATATGCCCATGAAACGATGAATCTTCTAGTGAATATTCATTATATGTTTGCTATCATCGTTGATCAATATTAATGGAGAGTCGATGGGCAGTAATACGATCTAATAATAACATCTAGAATTATTATCAATTATTATTACAAATTGAATCAAAAGATTTAAAGACAGCCCTCCTATCACAGTCTTCGATAACTTTACAATTGTGCCGTTTTATTTGAACAGAATTTATTTTTATTTTATGAAATATAAAAGGTTTTCATGACAAGTTATTTAATAGTTGAATTTTTCAATTGTATCATTTTGCCCTCCGAAAATGAACTAAAAATTTAAATAAAGCTTTTTTAGTTATTAAATAAATAAAAGAGTATTGACTTTCTCTCTTTAATGTATCTAGAATCATATTAATGTGTATTTTCAGCTTTATTCAATAATTAGAAATTTGGAAGTAGAAAAATTGTAGAAAAAATGCTTTGTAAAATGTAAAATTTAATTTCATGCACAGCTTGCGCAAATCAACATTTATCCTATTTATTTTTTCATATTGAAATTTTCTTTCTGATTGGATTATATTGTCACGACACGATTCTCGATCGTTATACATCGTCCTCTCAATTAAACAATAAATTTAAAAAAATGTGCTAGGTTGCTTTAAAAAATTGAAAATGCTCGATTTTTTATTTGCTTCGATTCAATATAATCGAATAAAATCTTTTTGAAAAGTATATTCTGAAGTTTTATTGCAACGAATCATCAGACATGTGTGATAAAAGCATTCAACATTGCTTTAACAAGGAAAATGGCACATCAAATGATTAAATAGAAATTTCAATAAAATACATAACATATTTATTTTTCGATTGTCAAAAAATGTAAAAATCCATTTCTTTAATTAGATTTACAGCAAATGCTGGTAGATTGTCCAGCGCGGGTCCACGACTTTGTAATTTATAAAATCTTTAGAATTATTAAGAAATCTCTTCTATCTTTCTACCTAGAATATATTTGCTCGTGTTGTAAAGTGATAAGTTATGAAGAATATGCATTCTGCGTCTGGGCCCTTCGATTGAACATGCGCCGTCAAATTTTCGTGGACTAGCTATCTTTTTGCAAAAGTTTGATCTCCATTCTTGATACGCGTTGAACTGGTTCGACGAAGACGTCTCGTTAACTACGACGGCTAAAGAAACAATATTGGCGGAAGTTGGCAACTTAAACTACCGTTTAACGCGCCAAGTTTTACAAAGTTTTGAAGAGATAGCGGAAAGTGCATATAGTTATAGACGCGAGGCTTGCCTGCTGGTTTGCACTTACTACTGGCTGGTAACAGTCAGTAATAGGTGCCAACCAGCAGACCGCCGATCGGACAACAGCCACGCGCGAATGTGCTTTCGACAGCTCCGACAGTTTATTGGCGATATCAGAGCTAGAGCTGGAAAAGTTACCACTTGCCAAACTTTAAGGAAACTTAAGGATGTCGATTTCTAATGCTTATTGTTAGCACTCTTATTTCTTTATTATTATTATTGGAACAAATTGCACGATGTTGTACGTGTTTACATTAAGTTTTTTAAAATCAATGAAATAAAATTATTAATATAGACACGTGTTTTACAACTTTTGTACAGATATTAACTTTCTATCAGAAACTAATTTTTCTTTGATTAATTATCTATTTTTCTATTATTAATTATTTCTTTTTAAGTAAAATTTTAATATTTATTAGAATACGAGCGTTATATAGAATTGAAACAAGCACGTCTGTTCCAGTCATTGACAAGGCAGCGTCTTCGCGATCGCTCGCAATCGCGTCCGGAATCACGCAGCTTCCCGCCGAGTACGATTGCGTATCTGTCGAGAACGGAAGGAATATCATATCCTGACAGCGGCCAGGAAGAGGAGGAATCTTTCTTCGAAAGGCCCCCGCCACCTCCGCCGCCTCTTCCACCTTCCTCATCTCAGCAATCGCAGACGCAAATCGATCAGGCCTCCAGCGGATTGGTCAAGGACGAAGAGGTTGATGCCAAGATTGCGGACATCCTCGACACTACGCAGGATCGTGAGGGAATTAGTTCCGAGGAATTGATCGGGTAAGTCCCGTAAGATTAGAGGATCTTGGAGGATCTAAAAGATGCTTGGAAAATTAAAAGGACTGTAATTATCAGTGTAATTATTTTGTTGAAAATTTTAGAAAAAAATTGAACCTATTGAGGAGTTGTTTCAGCAATTATTAATTATAATTTGCAATTTTTGTTTAATCTTTGAATTCTTTCTTTTCACAGGATTGCACAACAAAAGAACGATAGAACGACGATCGACGGACAAGTCAGACGACCCCGTCAGACGAGGGACCACTATATTTCCAGGTGAGAGTTTTTTTTGTTAATTTCTAATTAACTTTTCCCCGACGAAAATTTGCATATTGTAGCATTCCAAATATTGGTTCATTAAATTATAAATTTAATTAGCTATTGTCGTTAAAATTAAACAATACAACTATATCAAAATAAATCTAAGAACAGAGTAATAAATAACGCAGTTATATTTATTAACAAATCAAACAATATTTCTCATTAGCTAATGTAAATCGAAAATAACAGTCTCCCATAGAAATGAGAATTAAATGAGTTAAGTAAGAAGGAGAATTCTATTATATATTTTTATGCTTCAAGCTGTAATATGATTCAGGAAAAATTCTTTTTTTTTTATTTTTGATATAATTTATATATTATTTATGATTTTGTAGGATGTAAAAATCGATTTCACGTTCGAATAAAAGCAATTTGCAAAATAAAGTTATCCGACAAACTCGCAAACATGTACAACGAGAAAGAGATTACAGAAAAACAAGTTGGAGCAGGTCGAAGTACGACACGCCTTCGACGGAGGGTACGAGAGTGCCACAAGAGGAGGGTGTAACTCTCCGAAGAGAGATAGCCGGAGCCACGAGGATTTCCCACAGCACGATCGATCGTGTCTTTGACAACAGCAATCGGCGGCGATACGGGATGGGTATCGTCGGTCGCTTTTTCGGGTATATTTATTTTTCATTCAATGTGTAACAAATTTGTGTAATAATAAGATTGCTTCAATTATAAAACAATTAACTCATTTTTAACACGGTTTTTTTTAACACTTTATAGCTAATAAAATTTTTAAATAAAAAAATTAAGTTTTCTGGAAAAATTGGATTTTCTTAAGTTATGTTTTTCTTCAAGGAACGATTTTTTATCAAATAATTTTTAAATGAGATGGGTAACGTTATTATAACAAATTAAGTTTTATCTTTGAGAAAATTGAGAGTGTAATAAAGAAACTTGTACTAAAAAAAAGGAAGGGACAAAATGATTTTGATTAATTATTTTGCTTAATTCCAGACGATCTTTTCGGAAAAGCATCGCGCACAAACCGGACATAAAAAAGCAATTGGATGACTTCGAAGATCACCGACCGTATTTCACGTACTGGATCACCACTGTGCAAGTGCTGATCTTGATAATATCGCTGGCGTGTTATGGATTTGGTCCTGTTGGCATGGATATCAATCATCGATCGGGTCTGGTAAGTGGATAGAGATTACTAATCATCGATTACAGCACATATACATGTATTATGTAAACTCTAAATTGCGACAATATGCAATCATTTACATGTGAATCATTGCGCTTTGTCTTGAGATTTCACTTCTACTCTACTTTATAGGCTGCATGTTAGAAAAATAGCGCTATTTTTCTCTCTCACTCGAATTGAAGACGTCCGACTATCTTTTCGTCTCTCAATCTAAACAGAACCTCTTTCTACTCCACTATTATTGGCAACGTGAAGAAAATTACGTGCCTTTGACCACTCGAGTTACAGTAACCCCCCCCCCTCCCCCACTCCTTCCGCAAGAACCGCCGTTTAATCTAAAGTAGAACGTCCTTCAGAACAAAGCGACGCCGCGGACCGCGTCGATTGTATCATTTTGCGTAAATCGTCACTTGATCTGAACAAAACCTTTCTTCTGTAGATATTGTTGGCGTCAATAAAACGACGCAACTCGGACCATTTTAATAGCAATACTCCATCTTTCGCACGATTTCTATAAGATCTTGCAATTTTCTAATTGTAAAACGTTATCCACCATCGAATTATTCTTTTCAATTTTAGAAGCACCTCTCTTATACTATTTTTACAACAAATGTAGATTAACTTAATGTAAATTGCACATTTCTAAAAAAAAAAACATAAAATTCTCTTGGTTTACCAAAAATTTATTTTTATTGGCATTATATTTAAATGCTTTTCAAAAATATTCTAAACTGTAAATATGCTATTGTTATTTTATACGGTTTGCTTAAAAGGATTAAAAATAAGTACGAGCTTAAAATAAATTAATTCTCACGTGTTCAGGTTCTCGTGACGAGTCTGTCGTTGCAACAAGTCGACTATCAGGAACCCGCAAACTTCTGGCTAGGCCCTAGGGCCGCGGATTTGATTCATCTTGGTGCCAAGTTTGCACCGTGTATGCGTCGGGACATTAAGATCCTGAAGGAGATTGATGTCTGGCGGGAAAGAGAACGAGACACCGCCTGCTGTATCAGGAATGACGATTCCGGATGCGTTCAGTCTAGCAAAGCAGATTGCTCTGTAAGTTTACCGACTTTTGTGATGCTAGTTTTTAACATTACATTAATTCTTCAGACATATTTATGTTGATACAATTTTCTTCCATGCGCGCAGGTCCGAGGATTAAGACCTACTGTTACGGTAAATTACGTAAGCTTTACTTCGATTGATTCTAGAAGAAAGCACTTAAATGACAAGTAAAAAACAAGATTTTTAATTTATTGCATATTATGATTATTAATAACAAATTTCAAATTATAACGAAGAAAATGTAAAAATAAAATTAATGTATATATTTAAGAAATATTGAACTGTGTATGTGTTATGTATTTAATCGCATTGTGTTATTAAATAGTGAAAGAAAAGAAAAAAGGAACATTTGCCTAAAAAAAAAATAAGTTTTTTAAACAATTAAGTGCTTTTTTCTATATCAGAGAATTATCTTTAGAAAGCTAAAGATCAACACACTGGTAATATAAAGGGGCAGCTTAATTATATTGTAATTAATCGTTGGCATGTGCCTGAAAACAGGAGCGCTTGTGATAGTCAAATCTTAAATGTCTTATATTATTTTATTTGCCTGGTTGTCTCTAATTTGAGAGATCCAATCTAGCCTTTTTATCAATTCTGGATGATAAGAGCGGCGACCATTGCATGGAGATATATTCATTTTATATGGGCAGTATTTTTTAATTTAAAAATATGAAACATTTAATAATGATATAAACACAACGCAGAATATAATTTTGGAAGGAATATTTATTTGTGTACGTCAAAAGCACTGATTTAAATTTTGCATGAAGGCACCGAACATTTTGGTGTTTTCTTGGCAATATGCATATTAATGTTAAATAAAAAGTTTTGAAAATATTTTGCCGGAAATAATTTTCTATGGGATTCTTTTTGCATTTCCTTGAGAATTTAATTCCAAAGAAAAGTTCAAAGTTTTCGAAGTTTTGTAGTTAATGACTAAATAACGAGTAGCGCAATTTTTCAGCAATTAAATTAAAATATTTTAAACATAAACATAGATGCAAACTTTCTGTTTTATTTGTTAATTTTTTCGCAATTTAATTAAAAGAGAGGAAGTTTAAATGCTCATTTTATGATATAATTGATTTTATTTGATAAATAAATGCACAATTATGAATTCTCTTATTTATTTATGCATGTTTTAATTTCGGAAATTCATATTTAATAATCTCTTAAAGCTTAAAATATCATTGATATGAAAATAATTGCAAATATGTTTTTTTTTTTTAATAATTGTGAATATTGAATTCCGCAGAATACAATATCGACCTGGAAGAAGTGGGGACCCGGAGATAGTGGACCTGGCGGTCGTATCAGTGGTTCAGTTTGTGGACTGGACCCGAAGTTCTGCGACGCTCCAGCGAGTGTTGCACCTTACGAATGGCCAGATGACATCACCAAGTGGCCAATCTGCCGAAAAACCAATGCCTTTAGCCAACGCTTCAGGTAAGTTTCGTTTCAAGCATTTTCATCAACGTACTTTTCCAAGTGAAAATAATACAATGGAGTACCGCTGAAACAAATCACTTGAAGAATACGTAAAATATTGATTCAAGAAGATCGAAAAATCATAATACTATCCTTGTAAAATAACAATGTGTGTTCAGATTTTCAAAATTGTTCCGAGTTCTATTAAATAATTTCAATCAAACGTCCATACTCAGTTGAGAAAAAATGTTGACAGTAAAAACGGGAATCAGCGGAGCAACAGCAACTCTCCTGTCAGCCGGTACAAAGATAAGATGGCAGAGCATATGGTGTGCGAAGTGATCGGCCATCCGTGTTGTATCGGGATTCACGGGATGTGTCGTATCACTACAAAGGAGTATTGCGATTTCGTCCATGGTTACTTTCACGAAGAAGCGTCGCTGTGCTCGCAAGTGGAATGTTTGCACGACGTTTGCGGAATGATACCGTTTTTACATCCGGAGTGGCCGGACCAGTTCTATAGACTCTTCACCACTATCTTTCTTCACGCTGGGTAATTTCCGAACATGTTGAAACTAATTTGTTTCAACAGATTTATAAGAAAAAGCAGAATTAATTTTTATAAATTTATATAACAAAGAATAAATAAATTAAATATATCGAATCTTTAAACAGAAACTTAAACAATTTAATTAAATCGAAGCTTCAGCTATATTTATTTAACTTAATAAATTAACAAAAAAGAAAACAATGCTAATTTATTTATTCTTATTCAATCAAATTTAATAAAGCATAACCGGCTTATTTATTTTAATAATTAATATTTAATTCTAACAAAAAAATTCAATTTGTTTATTCTTTTCAATTGATATTGCAGTATCGTCCATCTGGTGATTACGTTGCTGATCCAGTATTTTCTAATGAGGGACTTGGAAAAGCTGACAGGATCTCTGCGCATTGCTTTGATCTACTTTACCGGTGCTCTTGCTGGAAATTTAGCTAGCGCAATCTTTGTTCCTTATAGGGCAGAGGTAAGTTTCTAAACTCTATAAATAGTTTTAATGAATCGCAGTTTGTTTAAAGAATGCAATGTGCGCATTTATTATAAAAATTTTCAAAAAGTATTAAACAATTCATATCTTACAGTTTTTCAAACCCATTCTAAACTAACTCTAAACAACAAAATTAAAATTATAAAGTTATTAGAATTATGATAATAATTACATACTTTTATCATACTTTTATATTCTTTATTTCTTCTTAAAACAGTGCTATTATTTCTTTTTATTCTTCTCACAAAAAATTGATCGCTTTTAAGCATATTTATGAATGATAATCACTCTGTTGTTTACTTACACAGGTTGGTCCAGCCGGCGCGCATTTCGCGTTGCTGGCCACGCTGATGGTCGAAGTGCTGCATTGCTGGCCGATGCTTAAGCACCCACGTCGCACATTGTCCAAGCTGATCCTGATTCTGCTGGGGCTGCTGACGCTGGGTATTTTGCCGTGGGTGGACAACTACGCGCATCTATTCGGCTTCATATTCGGCTTCTTAGCGGCCTACGCGCTGATGCCATTTATTTCGTTCGGCCATTACGATCGCAGACGAAAAATACTGCTAATCTGGATCTGCCTGGTCCTGATTGTGGGTCTGTTCGCCCTGCTGCTTGCTCTCTTTTACAACGTGCCAGTATACGAGTGTGAGGTGTGCAAACTGTTCAATTGCGTGCCGTTCACCCGCGACTTTTGCGCCTCCCAGAACATCAATTTCAAGCGGGAGGAGCCAGTATGACATACGGGTCCGCGATTCACGGTCGAGCACAAAATTGTTTCGTTCCCCCGATCTCACGCTCCTTATCATCGCACGCACTGCCACAATTTGCCATTATCGTTCACCGCGCTCGTTCCGGCGACACTCCTCGTCGACTCCCGAAGCCGCGTCCGAAATCGCAAAATTGGCTGAATCAGCTGATTGATGATGAACTTTTTCGTTTCAAGGATAATCAAGCTCAAAATCATTGAAAATCAGCGGAATCCCTCATTATACGTAATTGAAGAAAGTTCTCTGACAAAAAATGGAGATCGGAAGAAAAATTTCTTAAATTTTTGGAAACACTGACAAGTTTCTTCGATTTTTGAGTTTTGCTAAATTAAAAAATCGGAACAAAGGCCATTTGGATTTTTGAAGAAACTGGAAGAAGATCTGTAAATGCTTTGCTTCGTTCTCGCTTAAAAACAGATCAAGACGAGAAGGCTATTTCGGAAAAAGATTTTGTTAATCTTTGAGAAAGCTGAAGAAAAAATGTGGAAAAAAGTTTCTTTGATTTTTGAAAAAACTGGAAGAAAATCGATAAATATTTGTTCATTATTTTAACCGGAAAGCACAATTTATGAAAGAAAAGGTAAAAAAGAAAGATACATTTATAGAAACAATTTTTTTCCTTTTTAATAAAACTATAAAGAAAGATCAGAAGAATGTTTTTTAGGTAATCTGTAATCAATATTTCACGATCTAGATTGTGGAACTTCCGAGATCAGCGAAGATTCGTGTTGGCCAAGTTGCAAGATTGCAGAATGCAAACTTTCAGAATAATCTTTAACGTTGCTTTATGACTGCGTTTCCTTGACAAGACAATTCGGATTATCAAACTTCTGAAATCTCGCGAACCCAGAGTTCTCGATCGTCGAAGTTTCAGAGTTTTCCGAATTGCGAGGATCAACGATCATTCTTGGACCGCTTATGTTTATCCGTAAGAGTGATATCATGGTGTGTTCGGGGGCATGGGGGTTTGATAGTGCCTGAAATCGAGCGGGTGAAGGTGATGGATCCCGACCGACATTTTTGCTACTGCCAACGAACGTCAGAGAGGAACTCGTTCGTCGACGCACGACGATGCCTTAACATTATTAAGTCCCAGCGTAGTGAATGGCTCTCGATACGAGCCAGTCGGGCCTTCAAGGTGCCGAGAACTCTGAATCGCCGACGGAGTGTAAATATACATGGGTTTTAAATGCCTCACGATAATGAATGGATGCTCCATGGATCATTTGGTATCCTACAATGCATGTTGGCATGGCAGCATTCACCTCCTCCAAGTATTAATAAAAAAAGGGGAGGGGGAGGGGCAGATGTAAATAGAATCGAGTCTTGTTACCATTTTAAGAGCGACCTTAGTAAGCTAACTTTAGGGAGAACCTTGAAAGTGCGCACGTCTTTCGTCTCTGCACGATATAATCCCCCCGCACCTCCGACATCCGGAACTATTGTCTGTGATGGCTTGACGTTGGAAATATTTTTCGTAGCACCGTGAAGGCCATAATGACGATGGCTGCGAGCCTTCCTTCAGGGACGATCGGGAAATGTTCATCGTCTGGATATCAATCAATAATTCATTGAAGGAAATCGTTCACAAAGTGTTCGTTCTTCGATTTTAATAAAGCTTAATATATTTGTAAAAGTTCGCAAAATTTAAGTAATTAATTGCGTATTTCGATTTATTGGCTAACATCAAACAGCTTTTTAAAGTTTTATTTTTGTTATACTATCTTTCAAACTATTGGAGACAGAGAAAAAAAATTCTTTAGATAAATGTTTTATGATTTTCGGCGTAAAGTATATTGTCAAATGTTAATAAGAAAAATGTTTTATAATTTAAAATAATTTATAATTTATTAATCTTTTACTCGAAAATTATAGAATATTAGTGTGTTAAATTAATTTAATTGAATTATTTTATGAGATTTACGTAAATTTTATTAATTAAAAAACATTTAAAAATATATTTGAAAGAAAAAACAACCATACATTACACAATCAACATATTAAATAACATTAATAATTTGAAACGCAACCAAAATTTTGTATGACATTTTGATAATGTTATTTTAAATAAAACTGGATTTTACAATATATTTTGATAATGCCGAATCTCATAAAGTTTGAATGTAAAACGTATAATATTGTTAAAAACAATAGCATCTCTAATTGATATCCAGAGGATGGACCCCTTATCGAGGATAGGAAGGAAGGGGAGGTCCGAGGCAGAGGAGGCGGAAGGAAACTGTTAACGATTTAAGGTGAAACGAATCAATTTTTTATAACAGCGTGAGAGTGAGCGAGAGAAAGGGAGAAAGAGAGAAAGAAAGGTGCGAATATCAGAATTCTTAATCAATTTCGAAGTCTGTAAATATACATTTGCGATGGTGTGAAGGAATGTAGGGAATGTGAGAGAATGCGAAGGATTGCAAAAAAATGCGAGGAAATAAGAAGAAAGGCGATGAAAAGAATAGAAATAAGAATAAGAATATACGAAACATATGCGAGAGATGATTTGACAGTTTTACTCTAGAAATTGAAACCGAATTTGTTTGCCATGTGAGAGAAGGGATTAGATTCTGATGATATTAGCATTTATTATTTATATTGACTTTTATATCTCTATTTTATTCAATTCACTGCATATTTAATGCCGTGATTTGTTTTGCGATTCTTGTTCTGTTATAGCTTGTTCTGTTATTGTATATTTGCAAAATTATGCTTGACTGTGATCGAAGACTCAGTTGTAACAAAAATATATCATTTGTTTAGTAATTCTAAGTTAATTTGAATAAAAAAAGGATTACGAGGAAACAAAATTTTGAACTAAAAAATACATAAAAAAGTAGAATGAGAAAAATATATCATATTTATTTATTTTTATGATTTTTACGAACGGTTAAATCTGCTGAGAATAGATTTTGCAAAATATTTTCTACAAATTTTGTCGACAGAAAATATCAACAGAAATCTAAAAATTAGTAGAATTACTAATAAATATTCTATTAAATAATTACACAATATCAACAATATGTCGACAATTGTTGCCAATCAGCTACAATATACTAATCGAATCTGCTGTCAAATTTAGCATGCTTCTAAAATTTAACCAGGTTTCAAAACATATACCAATTTATTAATAATTAATAGATATTTTAAATAATGTTTTACTAGTTTTGTAGTCGTTTAAAAATAGTCTAACAGATTGTGTGTGTAACATCTGCGACGACATTTTACATTTATCGAGCAATTATTGTACATTTCGTTCTACAAGTCTCAAAGCACTGACACAAATGCGTGCGGGATTTGTTACTACTGTTGTTTGCGTTAAACTCAAATCATGTATTTGGAAATTTTGTGATATACAATTTGATAATCGCACGTAAAGACGGGTGCGAAAAAACGGGAGAAAATGATATGTGTGCGTGTATGCATGTATGTCTGGGGTGACTTATTGTCCCATTAAACTTTTCCGGATTATATATATAAATATATAAATATAAACGTATACATATACGCGGGTTAAGGTGGATCGTCGATGACAAGCAACGTATTGTTATTATTGTAAAGGTGTCATATACAGGTAATAACATGCAATACACACACACACACACGCACACGCACACACACATACACACACACACACACAAAATATACACAAACATGACATATGAACAATCGTACGTACACGTACATGTCTACACGACGACGTGAATAAATTGAGAACTTTCGATAATTCCATACCGATCACGGCGAGGTGGAATGTCTCGTCTCCCTCGCGGAGGCGAGAGAGAAGATAAGGCGATTTCATCCCGGTTATGGTTGTTATAAAAGCCAAAAATCGTGGGCAAATTGCGCGATCGAATAAACTTTGCATAATTTGATGTATTTTACGGCTGCTATAAAATAGAGGTAATATTTTATAAAATTCATTACACACATTCTACGATTTGCACACAAAACTATCAATCGTAAAGATTAAATGATGAAAAATAGCAGTTTTAAAGTGTTTTAAATAATATTCTAGAATTTGCAATAAATATAATAATTTTTAAATTATGAAAAAATAAGAATTGAAAAAGATTTGTGTAAGTTATGTTTTGGAAAACAAAATTATCTCCATTTCTCTTAACTTAATCTGCAAATTCTAAAATAATAAACATTGAAAATGAAAAAGATTGACAACTGAAAGATTAACTTCTGTAAATAACAATACATATTACTTTATTTATGTAAAAGTCATTGTAATATCTAGTATCGGAAAATTAAAAAGCTAAAGAATTTTTAAAAACAACCCTTTCTTATATATTTTCTACTTTTTAATTTTCTGAAAACTTTCTATCTTATTTACACAATGTACGAGCATATATTGTAACATGTACATTCTATTTTATCAACAATTTTTCTTATAATTTTTTTATTTTACAGATTAAAGAACAAAGTAAAAAATTTAACTTTGCAACGCTCTTACTAATCTAATCATCTTCGATCACGCGGTTGGCTTGCCATTTTTGCGATGCGGTACATCACCGCCGCCGCCGCGCGCGCACGTGCGCGTGCAAAACATTGTAAATAAACGTATGCGTCAAAAATGGACCAAGGATCTACATAGTACAGCTCGTGCGTGTAAAATTGATTGGCAGGTAGGATTGTAAGTACAGCTATATTTAACCCTAATTATTATGAAGAAACTCCGTGAAAGAGGTGACTTCAGAAGGATTCACGGAGATTCTCTCCTGCGAAACGATTTCAAATCTTCGAAATCAAGAATCGATTTAATAGTTTCGAAGTCAAACTGATTTTAAAATGTTTCAAATTAAATCTTTCTCCATCTTTTATTAAAGTTGATTAATGTAATATGTTTTTAACTTTTTACTCTTTTGTTCCTTTCTTTTATCCAAGATTCAACTCTATTATCTAATCATGTAATTGATTATCTTTACAATCTCCAGAAGCAATCATTCACAACTTGTTAAACAGCAAAGTTTTTAACATCTTTATATTGTTCTTTTCAGATGATTGTAGCGACGCGACATTATTTAAATTGAGAATATGAAGCAAATTTCGTGGTTTTAAAACATTTACAAAATTTATAACAAATCGTATTATTTTCCAATCAAACTGTGATATCGAAGATTAGTTATTCGATTTCGCACATTAATTTTTTTTTGTCAATTTTGTTTTAATTTGCTTAATTTTCGCGGTGTAAATAAAACAAGCGCCGGCGCGGCGGCGCTGGCTTGTAATTAATTAAGGCTCTCGCGCCTCTTTTATATAAATATTATGTATATACGTACGGATATATACACGGTAACAATTAGGATGTCGCCAAAATTATTTAGCTGTTATTTGGGACAGTGCGCAGATTTGAAAAAAAGCAGTACAAGAAATCTATCAGTTTTATCAATTCAAAGCACAAAAACAGTATAAAAGTAATTTAACAAAAAGAAATTTATATAAGAAAAACACAAAAATATCTCTGGGGCAAACTATTTAACAAATGTTTTTAAACTAATAGATTTTTAAAATTGAAAAAAACACGAAATGGTCTCTAAAATTAGAAATAAAAATATATTCTAGATAAACTTTTCCAGTAAATGCAGAAGTAATCTAAGTAATTTTTTAAATAGTCCAGCTAAGATATTTTTTCTATTTTTGTTTGATCGAAGTAGCATTTGTCTTAAAATTTTATAAATATATCTTTAGAGGAAAAAATAAATTTTTTTTGTTAAATTACTTCATACAATTTTTGTGATAAAAATGACAGTTTTATAAAATTGGTTTTTTTTTTGTACTTTTTTCATTCTACGCATTCGTTGGCGGAATAACAATCAAATTGTTTCAACAGCATTCTAATTGCCACCTTGTATTATAAGCCACTTAAGAACATTCCACCACGGCCGCGCGGTATTATTTTTCTGTATCCCTGTATCTATAAAAGCGCGATATAAGAATTAAGGACAGACTTTAAGGAAATATACGACTGTATTGATTAAAGATCGATCAACTTTATTATTATTGTTATCATCACCATTATCATTATTATTATAATTGCCGTTGTTAATATCATTACAATGATTACCTCGCCCTCAGTTTTCACTATAGTCGGTGCCCTTCGATTACGATTATTATTAATAATCATAACGATACATTGTACTTGTCGCTGTTATATACATACACATATAAATATATAAATATATAAATATATAAATATATATATACGAATGATATATATTAATTTAATAACAATAAAGAAAACGTGAAACACATAATCTAGTTTGTGTCCGGATTGATCTTTCCTCTATTTTCTTCTCTTTATTTTTGTACAACTCAAGATATGTTAGAAATTATTGATTATATGCAATATAACGTATATACAATACAATTTCATCGATTGGAAAACACGTTTATTCGTAATAAATTCCTACGACGAGACCCGTTGCAATAAATTCCGCAGTCTCAATTGTATAGGTTGAGTACGTATCTCTCTGAACATCCCATAACTTGCCAAAATCGATTTGTACGCTTTGTCCCAACTTTTGAACAATTGACATGAAAACTACAATTTTGTATCTGAAAGCAGTAATAAAGAAAGCTATAAGGAATGCTCAGATAAAAATTTTACAATCGAAACGAAAGTGACAGAGTTGTTAATCCCCGATTTTCTTTAACGAATTTTAAATATATTGCAAAATAGTTAAAAATAAATGTATTTTTTAATTAAATTTACAAATAAAAACCATACTTGTATATTTAGGATCCTTATTATGATAAGGTGCAATTATTACATCTATTTATTTCATGAATAAATTACCGATCATAGAATTTCTTGCAAATTTTTTCACACACTTCTGTTGATATTTCCTTGCAAATTTGCATGCAAAACTCGGGTTCGTATTTTAAGCTAATTAAATATCTCCGCATCACATTAATTAAGATTTTGTCGACAACTTCACATTGGAAAGGTTTATAAGGTTCAAGGCGATAAGTATTTTGATATCTTGGAACCTGAAAAATAATGATAAGTTCATTATTAATAATTTATAAATAATAAAACCCATATTTAATTTTTAAAGAGTACTGTAATACAAATATTTTTCTTACAATGTTCTATTATTTTATTAGTAATTAATAAGTGTTCGATTGTGATAAGTGAATATTTTCATAAATTCTTGCGTACAAAATTAATTTTCTCTTAAAAAATTTTGTTTTGGTTTAATTAAACATACCTTGAATCCACTTTTGCCTATCCGAAATAACATGCTTCCTTTGTGTAAACCTGCTATGAGGGATGTTTTTGATTGAAATGGCTTACTGATTACAGACGATGTTGTTACAGATCGTTGAGCTAATAATTAAAAATACATTTAAATTTTATTAATTATTTTTAATTATATATTATTATTACTGTCGTAGTTTGTATTAATCAATACTACTACTATTACATATCCTTTGCATATATAATCTCAAGCCCGTTTTAATTTCTCACGTCATTATTAATTGTCGTATTAAAACTTACTCATGTTTGTTTAATAATTATTTCACAAAACTAAAATATCCAAAATACTATAAAAAAAAATTACTCTAAAAATTGTTACGTCATATATCAAATAGTATATATTAAATAAATAGGTTTGTTCTTTATAGCTGAACTGGCTGCACTAATATCAGAATTCATCTTTTTCCCTCCACATTCGAAGGAGAAAGATAATCTCTAGACTAGTGCTGTCAGTGCAGCTATAGAAACAGACCTAATAACTGTGTTCCGAAATTCACTGTCGGTACTGAAAATCTATAGTTTACGTTACGTATATTGTAGATTTTCAGTACTGGCAGTGAATTTCGGAACGCAGCGAATGTCTTTCCTCGATATTACGATCAACGCCATCTATTGACTCTGATGTCCAATTACATAATCATTTCTCTCCCTCTTATTCACACAATCACACACACCACACACACACACACAACACACAGCACGCACCATCTTGCCTGTAGTTCGTAAGCGATTCTCGCTTGTGTGCATGCTTCCCCTACCACGGAACCCTAGTGCTGGCCGGCTCGAGTTTGCATCACTGCCTGTAGCTTTTATAGTGTAATATCAGACTCACGAGATGGCACTCAAAACAGTATACACAAAAATACGTTGCGCTCATAGACATAGGAATAAGGAGACAGAGCATAAAATCTTACTTTAGGCGAGGGGAGTGAAGCCAGTTCCGCGGTGCGGGGAATAGCAGTCACGTGATATTTTGGTGCCATATTGGCATTAGTTGTAGCATAATGGCCGGAGCACAGTACTTTTGCATAAGCATAACGCATAAGCATAAGGAAATTGATTGGTCCTATTTCCTTATGCTATTTGCTTATGCTTAT